TAATATCCTACAGAAAATCAAAGGCAAAGACCAGGTAGGTTGCATTTCTTGTCCAAGATTTCCTGGGATATAAAAGTTTAATTCTATTGTTCTCAAAGGGAAGAGTCACTCAGACCACTACACAGACTTAGTTGTTCAAGTAGGAACTTTTATTCAAAAGCCACACACTTGTATACACCAGGATAACAGGTGTTTAAAAGGCTTCCAATCCTTAGAAAAGGAGCATCTCTAGGATCCAGTCAAGATTTAAAAGAGTGACTGGCAATTTTGGGGGCCTCATTTTAGTGTCAAGCCAGGCATAGCCAAAAAGCCTACTTTTCAGAGGACATTTGCTTACCAACACCCAGTGATCAAGACTCTGGGATGTCATAGAAAGTGAGGGTTGGAAGGCACCTCAGGAGGTCATCTAGCCCAACCCCTGCTCCAAGCAGGACCATCCCCAGCCAGATCATCCCAGCCAAAGCTTTGTCTGGGGTTTTGAAGACCCCCAAGGATGCAGTTTCTACCACCTCTCTGGGTAACCTGTTCCAGTGTTGTACTACCCTCCTGCTGAGAAAATTCTTCCTAATATCCAACCTAAATGTCCCTTGCTGCAACTGAGACCATTGCTTCTTGTTCTGTCATCTGCCACCACTGAGAACAGTCCAGCTCCATCCTCTTTCAAATGCTGCTTCAGGCAATTGAAGGCTGCTATTAAGTCCCCTCTCAGTCTACTCTTCCTAGACTAAATAAGCCTAGTTCCCCGAGTCTTCCCTCATAAATCATGTCCCCCGGCCCCCTCACCATTTTTGTCACCCTCCACTGTGGACAAATTGGAGGGAGTCCCATCCTTTCTGTAGTGCTGTGTTTGGTTTTCGCCCCTGCCCACACTACAAATGTTATTCCCCTCTATTCACCACTGGTGAGGTCACAACTTCCCTGGACCTACTGGCAACACACCTACCAATGCAACCCAGTATGCTGTTAGCCTTCTTGGCAGCAAGGGCACACTGCCAGCTCATATTCAGCTTATTGTGCACTGTAACCCCCAGGTCTTTTTCTGCAGAGCTGCTGCCCAGCAGTCAGCCCCCACAATCCTCTAATATTTCCAGGTAACTCTGAATCCTAGCCCTACCCTTCAGTATATCTACTACTCCCCCCAGCGTGGTGTCATCTGTAAGCTTGCTGAGGGTGCACACTATGCCATCTTCCAGGTCATTGAAGATATTGAACAAAACCAGCCCCAGGACTAACCCTTGGGGCACTCCACTTGATTCTGGCTACCAACTAGACATTGAGCCATTGATTACTACTCTCTGAGCCCAATGCTCCAGTCATTTTTCTATCCACCTTGCACTGGATTCGTCCAGCCCATACTTCCTTAGCTTCCCTGTAAGAATGTTGTGGAAGACTGTATCAAAAGCCTTGCTAAAAATCAAGATACACCACATCCACTGATGTCCCCACATCCAGAGTCAGTCACCTCATCATAGAAGTCAGATCGGGTTGGTCAGGCATGACTTGCCCTGGGTGAATCCATGCTGACTGTTCCTAATTACCTTCTTCTCCTCCTCCTCCAAGTGCTTAGAAATGGATTCCTTGAGGATCTGCTCCATGATTTTTCCAGGGGATGAGGTGAAGCTGTAATTTCCTGGATCCTCCTTTTTCCCTTTTCTTAAATATGGGCACTGTGTTTGCCTTTTTACAATCATCCAGGACCTCTCCCAATTGCCATGAGTTTTCAAAAACATGATGGCCAGTGGCTCTGCAATCACATCAGCCAACTCTCTCAGCACCCTTGGGTGTATCTTATCCAGCCCCATGGACTTGTATATGTCCAGCTTTTCTAAGTAGCCCCTAACCTGTTCTTTCGCCACTGTTGGCTGCTCACCTCCTCCCCAAGCTGTGCTGCCCGGTGCAGTAGTTTGGGAGCTGACCTTGCCTGTGAAGACTGAGGCAAAAGAAGAATCGAGTGCTTCAGCCTTTGCCACATTCTCCGTCACAAGCTTCCCTCCCCCATTCAGTAAGAGACCCACACTTTCCCTGATCCTCCTCTTGCTACTGACATACTTGTAGAAACCCTTCTTGTTACCCTTCACATCCCTTACTGGCTGCAACTCCAATTGCACTTTGACCTTCCTGACTTCAACCCTGCATGCCCCAGCAATGCTCTTCCCTAGTTATTTGTCCAAGATTCTCCTTCTTATAAACTTCGTTTTTGTGATTTAGTTTACTAAAGAGTTCCCTGCTAAGCCAAGCTGGTCTTCTGCCATACTTGCTAGTCTTCCTGCACTAGGCATCAAAAACCCATATTCCTGGTATGGTGGGCTTTATATGCAGAAGGTAGAGAGGAAGTATTGCATAAAGGAATCATCTGAAAGAAAGTGGCATCTGTCTGGAACTTGCTCTGTGTGGAAGTGCTTGGCTTCCAATTCCAAGCTCAGGCGTCGTGCCTTTTGTTGCCCCTAGGTCCCTTTTACCAGAGATCCCCAAGGACTGACAGACCCTCATCCAATTTGGTATCAAGTGAACTTTTAATAGTAACCCCTAGGTTTATTACAAGTATTCTTCCTTGTAATATGACCTGGCAAGCAGTTCCTTAGATGTTACAGCAATAACCTTCAGTGGTACCAGCCTCAGATCCTCTGCTAGGTGTGCAGGATGCAAGCTTCTGGATTCCTCGTTGTTCAAACAAGAAGTCCAAGGTTGATCCTGTCTCCCCAGGGTGGCAACACAGAACACACGTTCCTTTGTTTGTTTGTCACTTTTATAATTTCTCTCATCCCAAATTGTCCAACCTCTGGTACGGTGCCAGCCACATTCCTTATAGGGAAACTGCTGTCCCTTGCTTGCCCAGTGCCCAGTCACAGCATTCACATCTCCCCGTGCAACAGGAGGTGCTCCATTCAATTTTGTTGCTTAGTTCTGGGAAGGCCTGGACTATACCTAAAAGCTTTAGCATAACTCAGTTTGCCTGCTACACTATTGACCTCAGAGAATTCAAAATATTTCTAACTTAATGCCTCCCCCACCAGTCCCCAAGTTGTCCCTTCTCATTAATAAAACAGGACAGCACTATGCTAGGGAAGCTTTCAAGATAGTAGGGCACCAAAAAGAGCCCCAGATGCAAGTTAAAGTTTGCAACACTGTTCCCAATAATAAAGAATTCTTAATACAGGACTGTTCAACTTAAGTACAGCTGGGAGATGCATACAATGCCGCTGCACAGCCCCTGCCACATGGATGGTCCACAGCCCCCCTTCCTCAAGACCCTTCTCCATTATATGACAGTGGGAGAGACTGTTGCGGGGGCCCACAGGCCACCAGTTGGGCAGCCCCATCCTAATTGATTACATGCATGTAGGTCTCACTGCTTTCCCCTGCCTATGCAGGAACAAAAACCATAAGGGCATTTGAGAGTTTACTTACTTCATGTACAGAGGCAGATGCACAGACATTGTGAGTTTTCTGGCTTCCTGTATCCGTCTGCTTTTCTCCCCAGCCATATAAAGCAAATGGATGTTTATTCTCCTTTGGCGCTTCTGTCCTTTGAGGACTTTTAATTGATTTTCGATCATCACGACTGGACAAGGCACTTCGACTTGGACGCTGGCCTGCACGCCTGGTCGATTTATCAGTTTCTTTTATAGCAGTCTGTTCTACAGCTTTCTCTTGATTTTCTCCCTCTGCTTCTTTTTCTAAAGGAGAAAGTTAAAAATAAGTTTGGTTTTAAACTCTTAGAAGCCAAAATGGCATGCCCCTACATGCAGATACTAGCTATCTAGGGAGAGACAAAGAGAGAGATTTAAGAGCTCTTCTTAAAGCAATGTATTAAACAGAATTAAAACAGCTGCCAGCTTCAAGGCAGCAGATACAAGCCTGTATGTCCCCAAGAGATGCTTTTATGTAGCCTGGGGTAATCTACAGCAGGATCCGTGACAACCCAGATCACGCCAGGATGAAGTAGACAGACATGCAGCTGACCTAGGCAGCAGGTGCTATCATAGGGCTGGACATCTAGACAGCAAGGGAGCAGAGAGATAGCTTATTTGCATTTAACAAACAGCCTAGAGGCAAACCAGGGCATCGATGGAGTTGATACTTGCTTCTCATAAGTAGTACTTCAGACTGATGTTACCCCAGTTCAAGGATTTGCAGCTTAAAAATGTACACTATACTATTTACACTCTTTCATCTCTATACTTTCATTTATATAAAAACATGCTCCCTTTATCAGCAATCATCCTGTACTCTTAATAGGATTGCCTACATCAAGGATCCAATGAATGTGCACTCATGATAAAAAAAAAATAAAGTGAGACCAGAGCTACCCAACAGCACTTATCTGACCTCATCGTACTTAGCATCTCTCCCCTCCTTCCACTCCATCAGCCTGCATTTATCTTCTTGCAAACCCCCATGCAGCGAACAAAAAATGGGCTCCCATATGGCATTTAGTCTTTGCCCGCCTGTCACTGCAGCTAGGGACAGATTTGATTACAGCACATGAAACATGCCCCCTTACACTGTAGGGATACTAGGCAGCAGGCAGTTTGGACTCCCTTATCCAAAAGCTCCTGATGCTTTCTAAGGAAGTGGGGGGGGGGGGGGGAACTTAAATTGAAATTTTGGACCGGAGTTCACCCACCAGCAATTTCGGGGAGGTGGGCCAGAGAAATA